CTCACCTCAGCCTCCCAAAGGCGCGGGATTACAGGCTGAGCCACCGAGCCTGGCTTGGAACTTTTTTATTTGAGTTGGATTTTCACTCCGTCGCCCAGGCTGGAGTGTAGTGGCACGATCACAGCTCACTGCAGCATTAACCTCCTGAACTCAGGTGATCCTTCTGCCTCACCCTCCTGAGTAGCTGGGACTACTCAGACACGCACCACCACAGCTGCCTAATTTTTTGATTTTTTTGTAGAGATGAAGTCTCATGATGTTGCCTAGGCTGGTCTTGAACTCATGGATTCAAGTGATCCTCTGGCCTTGGCCTCCCAAAGTGCTAGGATTACAGGCATGAGCCACTGTACCTGGCCTACAGAAGTTTTAAACATACTTATTGCAGTTTATGTCTGCCGACAGTGAATTCTCTCAATTATTATTTGTCTCTGAAAATTTGTTTTATTTCATTTTCTTTTCTTTTCTTTTTTTTTTTTTAGGAAGCAGGATTTATTGAGAAGACAGAAAAGCTCCCACAGTGGGAGGGGACCTGAGGGGGTTGCCCCATTTTCACTTTTTAATGATACTTTTGCTTGGTACTGAATTTTAAGTTATAGCTCTTCTTTGCACTTTAAAATATCATTCTTTCATCTTCTGGCTTGTGTTGTACATATTGATGATTATTTTGTCATTTTTATCTTTATTCCTCTGTATATAATGTACTTCTTTATTCAGGATGCTTTTAATGTTTTTTTCTTTATCATCATTTTTGAGCAAATCAATTATGGTGCGTCTTGGTAGTGATTTCTTTGTGTTTGTTCTGCTGTTAGTCCCTTTGGGCTGGTATACCAAAACATTATAAACACTTAGGAATGAATGTCTCACAGTTCTGGAGCCTGGGAAGTCCAAGATTAAGGCGCCAGGAGGCTTGGTGTCCAGTGGGGGCCCCTCCTCATGGGTGACGGTCTTCTCTAATCTCACATGGCAGAAGGGAGCAAAGGTGCTCTCTCAGCCTCCTTTGCAAGGGTGCTAGTCCCATTCCTCATCACCTCCCGAAGACCTCACCTCCTAATACTGTTACCTTCAGGGTTAGAATTCCTACATATGAATTTTAGGGGGACACGAACATTCAGATGATAGTACCTACCTTAAGTTTGTGGTGCTTGATTGATTTATAGGTTTATAGTTTCCATCACATTTGAAACTTTCTGGCTGCTGTTTGGTGAAGTTTCTGTCTCCTTTCCTTTTGGTGGTCTTCTTAGTACGGTCTCACATGTTGACGAGCATCTGTTCTCTTTATTTTTAGCCTTTTTTCTTTCTGTGCTTCAGTGTGGGTAGATTGTATTGCTACATCATGAGATTCAGGTCTATTGGCCTTTTCTTTTGCTGCGTTTAGTCTACTGTTTTCCCTATCCAGTGACATTTTCATTTCAGGTATTGTATTTTTCAACATTAAAAATTTCATTTGGGTCTTTTTTATGTCTTTAATTTATCTCCTCATTTTTCTTCCCTGGAGCGTGTTTATAATAGCTGCGTTGAAGTCTTAGTTTGTTATTTCATTATCTCTTTTTCTTGTTACATTTCAATTAACTGATTTTTCTCCTGACCTTGGGTCACATTTTTTGTGTCTTTGAATGTCTGTAATTTTTAAGTGGTTCTGAACCTTGTGAAAGTTATGTTGTGGCCTCTGGATTTTGTTGACTTCCATTAAAAGGAGTCTTCTTTTGGCAGACAATTTTTGTGGATTAGCCTAATCCATCTCAGGGCTTGTTCTTCAGTTTTATTGGTATGCATCTAGAGTAGCCCTTACTCTAGAACGGGTTTAGCCTGTTTACCAAGGCATGACCCTTGTGGGTTCTCTGCTGATTGTCCTGGGTGTTCAGCAAGTTCTCTTCATACTGTCTAGCAGTCACTGGAATGCCTTCTAACCCTTTGTGAGCTCCAAGGATTGTTTTCTAAGCTCTACAAGTAACTGTTCTTTCCATGGTAGTTATTCTTTGTTTGACTTTGTAGACTCTTGTCCTCAGCAGGTTCAGCTTGGTATTCGTTTAAAGACTCCAGAGGACCTTTGGGTAGATTAGCACTCTTTCTCTGAGTACCTCACTTCTCATCTATACTTTCTTTCAGCCTTCCCAAAGTTCAATTTCTGTCCCCTTAGCTCAGTGATATTTTCATGTTCCACTTAGGTTACCTCTTTTTGTGCCATGATTGGGAAAGTACATTTAGGCAAAAAGCCATGGACACTGTAGTGTTTATTTTTTCCTCTCCCATTCTCAGGGATCACCATCTTGCATTACTTATATTCAATTTCCAAGAACAGTTGTTTCACATATGTTCTATTTTTATTTCCATTTCTGTATATTTATAGTTTGATGCCCTTTACTTTGTCATGGCCAGAAACAGAAGTCCTCCAGTTCCCTTGATTTTTGCTCCTGGCACTTTTCTGGCTTGGTTCCACCTTCTAGGTTTTGATCACTGGGTAGAATTAGGGGTGTGGTTAACTCTGAAGATGCACAAGAGAAGGAAAGTCCTGAGGGTTGTGTTAGATCAGGAGGTGTATGAAGCTTGATAGTTTGTGAATTCTTTAAGGTAGAATGGAGGATTGAAACTAAAATCAGCAAGAAAACTGAAGTCAAGGCATGGGAGGAGGGGAATATCAATTTTGCTGAAGTTGTAAGGTGAGTGCGTAATTGTGAAAATGGGCACCAAAATGAATAGAAACAGAATGGAAGCAGGAGGGTTGGACAGAGTAGTCTAGGTGTCATTGTTCTGTATATGAGTAATAAGAATACTAACAGTTCATAAATGTGTCATTCATTCAGTGCCTGACATTTAGTGCTTGAATGCCGGCTGCTAAAGTTTCTAATAAGTGCTACTGAGGGAGTAGAGCAAGGGGTTTCAGTTCATTTCAGCTCATATTTATTGAACGCTTATTCTTTGCCAGACATGGGACATATAAAAATTTAACTCTTTTTTAGGCTTTGGGGGACTCATTTCTAATTGGATAAACAGGTACACAATATGAATATGTAACCTCGTGATGTCATGGTAGCGCAGGGTATTAGGGAGGATGATTTCATTTGCACACTTACTGAGGAGATGATGCTGGAGTTGAGACTTGAAGAGGAGTAAGAATTAGGCAAATGAGGGTGTGCTTGGCACTTCATGCCTCAGGAATTGTGAGAGCAAAGGCATGGGAGTGTGAGATAGTTTGTGTGTGTGTGTGTGTGTAAATATAGCTATAAGCAATTTGACGGTACTAGATATAAAACGAAAAGAAGGGATAAATGGAGACGACACCCTAGGAATTGACAGGATCTTATAAACTGAGATATTTGGCTTTATTCAGTAGAGAGTATATCACTAATAAGTTCAGCTACATTCATTAGAAAATCTTAGAATAGATGCTGGCTAAATAAGACAGAAGTTCATTTTTCTCTTTTGTGAAATAAATCAAGTAGGCAGTCTAGTGCTAGAATGGCCTTCTGGGACTAAGGCTTCTTATTGCCTTGCTTTCCTGGCATCCTTACAGCATTGCCTCTTAGTTCAGATAACAAGAAGGAAGATTTTTCTTAACTTGACTTCCAGAAAGGCCCACACAGTGTGTTTGTTTACATCTTGTTGGACACTTGATCTTCCTTCCTGCATGGGGAGTACATGACTTCTCCAAGTAAAACTGGCTTCTGTTGGTGGGAAAGAAGAGGAATAATGAGCATTCTTTGTGACAGGGAGACAGAGGAGTTTGGGGGGCAAATGTTCCCTTTATATTACTGTAAATGTATTTGGGGTGGGGGGCTGGAGAAGGAAGGGGAGCAGGAAAGACAGGAGAACAGGAGACTAATTTGGTTATTCCAGTTGTCAGGTGAAGGAGGAAGATCTGATCTAGGGCCACTACTTTAAGGATGGAAAAAAGGGAATGTTAGTTGGTGTTCTTGGTGGCAGGTAACAGAAACCAAACTTAAATTGTTGGTTTAGCCTACACTATTGAGTTCACATATTTTTTCCTTTAAATTTTCAGTGTCATTTTTAAAAGGGAAAATACAGTATAAAGATTTTCTCTAGGAGACTGAATTCCTACCACATATTAACAGCACAGACATTTTGTATGGAAGTATGCAGATGTGAGAATTTCACTTACATGCTAAATGTTCTTAGAGCTCTGAAGATGAGTGGGTTGAGGCTGTTCCGTCCCAGACTCCTGGCAAGGAAAAGGCCTGGAAAGTGAAAGATGAACAGCCAGAACGAGAAGATGGCAGCCAAGCTATGCAGGTAAGCAGGCCACCTGATTTTAGAGAAAGAAGTGTCAACTTCTAAGAATAGGTGAATGTTGGAAATGAAAGGTGGTTGTAATTCCTTCAGGAGAAAAGTCAGACTTTGAAGACAGTGCGCTTGCTGAGTAATTTTGGCAGGAATGCTGCTTGTGGGGCTGTTAGACCCCTTCCGCTCCTCCGTTGAGAAGTGAATGCTCATCTCCCTTCTTGGCCCTCAGAGGTTTTCCTGCTTCTAGTTGATGATAGAGAAGTGGCACTTTTTTCCTTTACGCACACGAAGCCTTCTGCTGTTACCTCTGTGTGACCTTTCTACAGGGAGTAGAAGTCAGTCACAATGTCTCTCTCCCTTCACCTCATGCCTTCATTTTCTTTTCTTTTTTTTTTTTTTTTTTGAGTTGGAGTCTCACTCAGACTGGAGTACAGTGGCCACTCCTGGCCACCGCAGCCTCAACCCGCTGGGTTCCGGTGGTCCTTCCGCCTCAGCCTTCCAAGTAGCTGGAACTACAGGCGCATGCTACCACGCCTGGCTAATTTTTTGATTTATTATAGAGATGAGGTCTCGCTAAGTTGCCCAGGTGGGTCTCGAACCCGTGGGCTCAGGCAATTCACTCACCTTGGCCTCCCAAGGCATGGGATTATAGGCTGAGCCACCGAGCCCGACTTATACAGTTGAATAGCTCACAGATTTTGGGTGCTTGTTCATATGCACCAGTAGCCACAGGTAAATAGGTAAGGCAAAAAGGAACTGATGTTTGATTGCCTGTTGTGTGCCAAGCACTGTGCTGGATGCCTTGGATTTGCTATCTTGTTTACTCTTTAAAAGAGCCCTGAAAGGAGGGACTTTATTCCATTTTATAGGAGAGAGTCTAAGGTGTAGAGAGATTAAGACACTTGCCTAAAGTTGTTCAGCCATGTCAGATTTGATTCAGGGTGGATTGCCTCCAGAATGCCTGCTCCTATTACCAGGTGTTTATTATTAGGTTCTAATCAGTTCAGATTGAAGTGGCTTCCTTTTTTTTTAAACAGAGGGATGAGTGGATGACTGTTGATTTTATGTCTGCTAAAACGGTGTCATCATCGTCACTCAGAGCTGAAAAGGAAACTGCGAGGAAAATAGAGCAAGAGAAAACCCGAGCCCTTGAACAGGTAAGAGTGAATATTTAAAATACTTCAGTTTTCTAATTTGCCTTTAATATACTAGTGAGACATTTATGTAAATGTAATTTTACTTGTAAAATACTGTTTTATCTTTTGTGGGACTTAATAAAATTAGTGAGAACAACTATGAAATATAAGTTCTTTTAAAATAAGGTTCCTATAGGAAGTCAGTTTAAAGGTATATTGTTGATAGAGTTAAAATCTAGGGCATATATAGTTGAGTGAATACTGAGTTTAGGTTACTGTTGAACCTCACTCAACTTTTGCTTCAGTGTACATTCTGAATTGGATACCATAAAAATGCTTCCATTTCAAGACACCTTCAACTTTTGGATAAAGTATAAAATAAGTATGCTTATTTTATATTTTACTGTTGTCACTTTGCTAGTAGGAAAACAATGAGAAATCTTTAGAAACCAAAAAATGAGACAAAAGCATGAATCCAGAAAAGTAAGGAAGCAGATGGCTTTCCTGGGGGTATCACATAATCCTGGTAATCTAGAGTATCTGTTTATTGTCTGGAGTATCTGTTTATTGTCTGTCTATCTGTTTTTTTTTTTTTTTTTTTGGAGTCAGAGTCTCACTCTGTTGCCCAGGCTGGGGTGCAGTGGCACGCTATGGCCACCACAACCTCGAACTGCTAGGCTCAGGTGTTCCTTCTGCCTCAGCCTCCCAACAACAGATGTGCGCCACTCCACCCAGTTAAATTTTTGATTTTTTTTTTTTTTTTGTAGAGACATGGTCTTGCTGTGTTGCCTAGGCTGGTTTCCAACGCCTTGGCTCAAGCAGTCCTCTTGCACTGGCTTCCCTAAGTACTGGAATTACAAGTGTGAGCCACTGCGTCTAGCCTTTGAATTTCTATTTATCTTGTTCTATCAACATATATTTATTTTCCAGTCCTTACTGTCTGTGCTTGTCAAACTTTAAAACTTTTGCCAGACTAATCAATGAGTAACAAAAGATATCTTAGTGTTTTTGTATGCATTTATCTGATTACTATGAGAGAGATCTTTTCATGTTTTTTGGTCATTCAGATTTCTTGTAGTGTGAACTACTTGTTTATGTTTTTTTGTTTACTGGTGTGCTAGGGTCATTTTTCTTTCTCTTACTGATTTATATAAGTTCTTTATGTTTTCAGTCCTTTGTCTTTTCTACATCTTCAGATAGTACCTCACAATTTGTCTAGCCTCTTGTCAGTTTTTCTCCTCAGGAAGTAATTCTGGCCTTTGTTATTCTGTTGACTATCTGATGTGTATCTCATTGAATGTCTAGATAAGACCATTGGAAGAAATTCCTTGATTATTGATATGGAGAGATTTTGTGGTAAATTAACAAGGGAGATGACAGAACTTTTTTTGATACAGACTAAGAAGTCAAATCATATGGTTTATGGTTTTTCTTATCCCTCTAAGTTAACCCTTTACTTAAATTTTGTCCTTTAAAGATTCTTTACATTTAAAAAGCTTTTTGAAAAACAGTCTACCCAGCATTTTTATTTTGATGAGTTTGGTTGGTTCATAATCCTGGAAACTGAAGTTCCTAACATTTAACTCTTTCTATTACTCTCCATCCTGTTGTCATTATTACGTCTTTTTTTTTTTTTTTTGAGTTGGAGTATTACTCCTTCGCCCAGGCTGGAGTGCAGTGACACACTCACGGCCACCCCAGTGTTGACCTGCTGGGCTCAGGCGATCCTTTTGCCTTAGTCTTCCAAGTAGCTGGAACTACAGGCATGTGCTACCATACCTGGCTAATTTTTGATTTATTTAGAGACGCACCATGTTTCCCAGGCTGGTCTTGAACCCACAGGCTCAGACAGTCCTCTTGCCTTGGCCTCCCAAAGTGCTGGGATTACAGGCTTGCATTATTACTTCTTGTAGGAAGCATTTTCTGAGCCCCTAGGTCAAGTTAGGTGTCATTAGTACGTAGTTCTGTGGCATTCTTTACTTTCATAGCATGTTATCTATATTTATATTGCCTAATTATCCATCCCTCTTCTCTAGACCCTCATTTTTTTGATAGCAAGTGTCATGCCCACCTTATCCAATATAGTCCCAGTGCCTGGCATCGTGCTTAGAACACATGAGGCACTTGCAACTGCGATTATTCTACCTTGTGTCTTATCTAGATGACTGCCACCGTCTTGTGACTGGATTTGTGCCGCTAATCCAGTTTCTTCTCCACACTGAGACCAGTATGTGTAATTGAAAGCTCACTTTCATGAGTCTCCATTGCCCCCAGCATAAAACCCCAATAGCAGTTCAAAATGGTGCATGTGGCCAGTTCCTGATTCTTCTCCAACCTCTAATCTCTTGGCACTACTTGCTCATACTTCTGAGTTTTAGCCAGTCAGAATTAAGTTTCCTGGAAATGCTGTGCTTTCTCTTTCTCTAGGGGTTTAAGAACATGCTGTTATTTATTCTTCTTGGAACATCTTTATGCTCTCTCCTCACAAAAAAAAAAGAAAAAAAGAAAAAAAATTTAGCTAATTTCTCCTCATCCTTAGGACTAAGACTGCACATATTACTTTTAGGAAGTCTTTGATCCTTCAGTATGAGAGAGATTTGAGTTCTTGTGTGGTCTTAGTACTCTGTATTCTTGTCTTCAAAGCACATTGTCAGCTATCTATTGTCTGTATTCCTAATCATACTATAAGCTAGTAAGGGCTGATCAGGATTATTGAGAGTTAAATCTCCTAACATTTAGCATAGTCTTGAGACATGGTAGGCATTCAATAAAAAAACCCAAAACAAAACTGAGTGAATGTGAATTTAGACGTTATTTCCTGTAAGTTACAGAACAGCATGTCTTAAGAGTGTTTTAAATGATTTGTCCAGGGTTACAACAGTAAAATGGGTCTCAGATTTATTATTTATTGATTTTTGTGTGTGGTGGGTTTGCTTTTAAAATATAACTTCTGAAAATGTTTTGTTCTAGTCCAAACTTCTGGAAAGAGAATTGAATCCATACTGGAAGGATGGTGGGACAGGTCTTCCACCAGAAGACTGTAGTGTATCATCAGTTACTAAAGGTATTTCTATATTTGGATTGTAGACACAGGCATTCGTTCTAACTTGCTATTTAAGGGAATGTCCTGAGTTTACATATGACAAAGCATTGATAAAATATTTGCAGTCTTTTGAAGACTCATTTAAATTATTAGTAATTTGGAAGATTGTTTTAATTATGATCAATTTGATTAATGCAAGTTGATTAAATATTTATATACTTGAAAATGTTCTCATATATGAGTTTCTAGTTAGAATGGGTTAATACAAAGTATGATTCTGTGAGGATATAAGAATGCATTTGGCTTGTTAGATTATGTAGCATAATATAAAAAGTATTATCTGAAATTCCTTAAAAAAATGCATAAAAATTAAAGATATGGTTCGTAGCTTTAGAAATTCAGACTTTGCCAGTCCTCATAAGATTTGTATTGACCTTATTACTGCTATTTTCCAGCAGATGGAGACAAAATATTTCAGAGTCACACAAGCATACTTTGTAACATAATTTTTAAAAATACTTATATTCCCACTGGGTGTTGCATTGACATCTCAATGAAAAGTTTATTTAATTACAATTAACCCAGCATACAGATAATGGTAGTATTCTAAATTAGGATGCTACCTTTTCATCTTAGTGATTTGTCAGTAGGATATTCTCCTGATTTTTAGACATAGTTTATTTTTATTTTGGCCGTTTGTTAGCATTCTTTGTATCTTTTGTAGAGATGTTCCTAGAGCTGCCTTTTCAGGTTCCTTTATCATTATGCTTAGCAGTTTTACAGTTAGTAATTGTAAATTTTCTTTTTTGTCTTTCTGCATGGGTAGAAGTCTCTGCTGGGTTTTGTAGTAGTAAGCATAGTCAAACAAGATTCTCTGAAATATTGTTTTATGGAAACAAAGTTTGGGGAGTAGCAAGTTAGCTCAGTGAATTATTACTATGTAGAGCTGATTTTATGATCTAGGATTTGGTTTTTTTTTTGACCACACCTCTTGTCAGAGGACAGTCAATAAATTTATCTTTGGGGAAAACCTAGACCTGACAAACCCAGTCTTTCTTTGGATGTTGGCAGTCTATGGGTTCTGTATTTCACCGAGTGGAGAAAACCCAGAGTTTTGCCTTAGGAAGTCTCTTCTAGTTGGTGGAAATGGCGGAATCAAAGATTTTAGGAGGAAAATCATCTTACATGAAGCTTTTAGACAGTCCACCCCTCTTCTCCCTCACATCATGCTTTCCCCACTTCCCTTTCCCGTTACTATGTTTATTTAGAAGGAGGAAAAATGAAGAAAGCTTCTTGAAATTCAGTTTTAGGAAAATGATCTACAGGTTTTACTGTGTATGCAGAGAGTGTTGTCATTCTGTTTAGACCAATAGTAGGGCTGAAACTGCTAGACACCTAAAAGTGTTATGATATCTAGGAGGTAGAGGTGACATAGTGTTAATAAGGACTTAGATTTTAGAGTCAATCTCCTTGGGATGAGAATTTTGGTATTTCCATCAATTAGCTTCATGATTTTGGGAAAATTTCCTGACCTCTCTGAGCCTAATTTATTCATATGTAATAGGGAATAATAGTCGTAACTATCTTACAGAATTAATAAAGAGTAAATTTAAAAATCTTTTAATACTATCTAGACTATAGTGGATACTTGATAATAATGATGTGAAATACATGTTCAATGGTTAAATATTTTGGGAAGGTTTTAGCAACAGTTTTTGCTAATGATTAAGGTGCCATATTTTCAATAAATAATTTGTTAATATTGATTTTTTCCTTAGAGAAAATTAGGTAAACCATTTTCAGAGTCTATACAAAATTATCTTAAATCTTATTTTAGTAACGGGAATATTTGTACAATTTTAGAGTTAACATGGTATATCCATATATCTGCTTTTTTAAAAAATAGCAACTATGTGAGGAGAGCAGTGTAGGTGTTACTCTAATTTTGTTGTTCAGGAAACTAAGGATTAGAGTGGCCAGGTGAATTTCCTATAGTTGTGTGAATAGTGCTAGAACTCAGTCTTCTGATTTCTAGTCCGGGGTTAGTCACTGTAGATTCTTAATGAAAGATTATATTTCTTACTGTGTAGTTAGCAGGAATTCTTTCTTATAGACTCTTGGGATGTGATTTTGTTCTTCCTATTGATTTTCTTCCCTCTTAATTTTTGTGCTTCTTCTGTTAGAATATTTGATTTGGAAGGGCTTTCAAAGGTGAGTTAAATCAGTTACCCATTTTATAGATGAAGAAGCAAAGGTCTAAAGAAGTTACTGATATGCTTCAGATCTTACAATATTTAGTAGTAGCAGCAAGACTAAAATCTAGGACTTCTGATGTTTAGTTTATTGTTATTTTTGTATTTGCCTGCCTTCTGAGAAAATTGGGGAATATAGCCCAGATTCTTTTTGTTGTATTTTGTCTATAGCAGTATAACTTTGAGTTATGATGGGCACATACACTGAAGTCTCTTAATTTTTTACTTATTGTAAAAACATATTTGAGAATAAGTGCAGCATACCAGTGAATTTGCTGTGATTATTTGATGTATCTCAATCCCAACATAGAGGACTGAGACCATGCCATATTCATGCTTTTATTTCTTACTGTGTTTAACAATTTTCTATTTGTAGTAAATATTCATCAAATATTTGTTGATTGAAATTCAGGATGCTACTGCAAATTGATATTTTTTGTTTGATTTTTAAATATCAAATTTGGTGATTTTTTCATATTAAAAATACTTAGTTATTACTATCGCTAATTATATGATTAATAGGACTGTTGAAATGGAATATGTTATCAGCTAAAGGTGACATTACTATATGAACAGTTCTGAAATTGCGGATTTAACTAGTGGGTGAATTAGCTGAAAATTTTTATTCCTGGTAGATTTCCTTCATAAATGTCAACACGGAGGAGTAAAAGTAGTCTTATGTTTCCTTTTTTTTTTTCCTGAGGTATATTAATATCTCAGTAAGTGTTCAGGAAATTTTCACTATGCCCATCAGCATTACATCAATTCCACAGATAATTCTATGGAATAAACAATTTAATTATATATCTGAGATATTAATAGATATTTATTACTATGGGTTGCTTTTACTTATTACTGTGTAGATTGCAGATTTAGACTTACTTCCTTGAGTGGTTGCTGTTAGTTTTGAATTCGTGGACTATGTAAATAAGGGGAAAAAAAGCTAGAGTAGAGTGAGTTTTTGAATAAAAAGTGAATTATTGAGCTAATTAGAGATCCGGGTTTTGGAGTACAAAATATAATTTTTTGTAATATTATTTTATTTTAGACTTAGGTGGTATGAGTGCATGTTTGTTACATGGACATATTGTGTAGTGGTAGGAATTGGGTCTCAGGTGTTCCATTCCCCAGATAGTAAACATTATACCCAATAGGTAATTTCTGAATCCTAACCCCCTTTCCACCTCCTCCCTTTTTGGTGTCCCCAGTGTCTATTATTTCCATCTTTGTTGCCATTTAGCTCCCAGTATAAGTGAGAACTTGCAGTGTTTGGTTTTCTGTTGCTGAGTCAGTTTACTTAGAATGTTGTTCTCCAGCTCCATTCATGTTGCTGCAAAGGAAATGATTTTTGTTCTTTTTTATGGCTGTGCAGTATTCCATGGTGTATATATACCACATTTTAAAAATCCAATCCATTGGTGGGCATACGGGTTGGTTCCATGAGTTTGCTATTGTGTATAGTGCTGCAATGACCATATGAGTATAGATATATTTTTTTATATACTGATTTGTTTTCCTAGGGTAGATCACTGGTAGTGGGATTGCTAGGTTAAATAATTCTATTTTTAGTTGGTTGAACTAGTTTACAATTCTACCAACAGTGTATGAGAGGTCCCTTTTCTCCACATCTGCAGCACATCTGATGTTCTTTGACTTTTTAATAAGAGCCATTCTGATGGTGAAGCAAGGTGATAACTCATTATAGTTTTAATTTGTATTTCTCTGATGATTAGTGAGGTTAAGCATTTGTTTATATGTTAGTTGGCTTCTTGTATGTCTTCTTTCAAGAAGTGTCTGTTCATGTTCTTTGCCCACTTTTTGATGGGGTTGTTTGTTTTTTTTCATGTTGAACTGTTTGAGTTCCTTGTGGATTCTGGCTATTAGTCCTTTGTCAGCAAATATTTTCTCCCATTCTGTTCCCTCTGTTATTTCTTTTGCTGTGTAGAAGCTTTTTAGTTTAAGTCTCATTTGTCTATTTTTGTTTTTGTTGCAATTGCTTTTGGAGTCTTCGTCATAAGTTCTTTGCCTAGGTTGATGTCCAGAGGTGTGTTTCCTAAGTTTTCTTCTGGATTTTTATAGTTTTAGGTCTTAAACTTAAGTTTTAATCCATCTTGAGATAATTTTTATATATGGTGAGAGGTAAGGGTCCAGTTTCATTATTCTGCATAAGGCTAGCCACTTTTCCCAGCACCATTTATTAAATACAGTATCCTTTTCTCATTGTTTATTTTTTGTTGGTTTTGTTAAAGTTCAGTTAGTTTTAAGTATATGGCATTATTTCTGTGTTTTCTATTCTGTTCCTTTGATCTGTCTATCTATTCTAGTACCAATAGTATACTGTTTTAGTTACTATAACCTTGTAGTATAATTTGAAGTCAGAAAATGTGATGATTTGGCTGTTCCTGTTTTTTTTTGGTTCCATATAAACTTTTAGATTGTTTTTTCTAGTTCTGTGAAAAACGATGTTAGTGTTTTGATAGAGATTGTGTTGCATCTGTAGACTGCTTTGGACAGTTTAACAATATTGATTCTTCCGATTCATGAACATGGAATGTTCTTCATTTGTGTCATTTTATCAGATTTCTATTATTGATGTTTTGTAGTTCTCATTGTAGAGATTTTTCGCTTTCCTGGCTAGGTGTATTCCTAGGTATTTTATTTTATTTTTGTGGCTATTATAAATGGGATTGAACTCTTGAATTGGTTCTTGGCTTCAGCACTACTACTGATTTTTGTACTTTCATTTTATATCCTGAGATTTTACTGAAGTTGTTTATCAGGTCTACAAGCCTCTTGAAGTCTTCAGGGTTTTCTGGGTATATGGTCATGTCATCAGTGAAGAGGAATAGTTTGACTTCCTGCTTGCTGATTTGAATGCTTTTATTTCTTTTCTTGCTGGGTTAATTTGCTAGGATGAAGTACAAAATATTTTAGATGTGTAGAGAAAGACCACATTATCTTAGGAGAAATTGCTTAGAAAAGATAACCTTTTGAGATTTCAATGAGGGAGTGAAATTAATTTGAATAGAATTAACTTGAGGATTGGAAAATCTGTTTTTTATTTGAGTAAACTCTTTTTTTTGAAATATAACATATAGAAAAGAGCACAAATCATAAGTGTATAGCAGACTGATCATTTTCACAAAGTGACAAACATCTGTGTACTAAGCACACAGTTAGAGAAACAACATTATTAGCATCGTGGAAACCCACTTTGTGGCCCAGAAGGGTAACCACTATCCTGATTTTTAGCACCAGAAATCAGTTATGTCCCCTTTTTTTTAACGACTCCTTTTGCCCACTTTTTGAGATTCATCCATATTGTTGTGTATAGTTGTATTTTCTTCATTTTCTTTGCTGTATAATGGTCTATTTTAGGAATATATCACAATCTGTTTATTCCTTCTACTGATGGTGGATGTTTCCTGGGTTTTCAGACTGAGATGTTTGCAGATTGTTTTTCCCTTAATATTCTTGTACATGTCTTTTGGGGTCTATTATGTGCATTTTTGTTGGTTATAGACCTGGGGTGATCTTAAAGCAGTCCTATTTTGGGGTAAGGAAAATCAGGAACAGGATTTTGATTTCAGTAATTCACTTGATTTTCTCTTTACACATATCAAAATGTGATGCATATAGAAAGAAATAAAACCAGGCATTCCAGTGCTCATGGTCGATAATCTTGATTAAAGTAAGATATTTATTATTTTAACGACCATTTAGTATCATCTTCCATAGCTTCCTTGCCCCCCCCGCATCTGAAGCAGTCTTTTCCTTGCAGTGTATGTGCCTTTATTTCTTATTTCTGAAAATGTCCTCCCTACTCTTACCTTTTACAATAGAAAGTCAATTCATTTTCTTGAACCTGGTTTGTGGAATTTTCCCTGACCTCCCAGTTAAAAAGAACCCTTTTGCTTTTCTCATTTTCTGTAACCCTTTATATCTTGTTGTAATGGCTATCACGTGTTATCTTATTGTAATTATTTGTCTCCTTTAATCTTATGCTCTTAGTTTGGAATTTTCCTGAAGATAGCTTTATTTATCTTTTCCTTTTCATAGTGGCAGTTCTGTAACTTGCACATATAGGCACTCAAATATAAGTTGGATGTTCAATATACTTATGATTTTTATATATTTAAAGAAAAATATTTAATTTTATACTGTAGAAATCATCATAGAATCAATAAATATTAGTTCTGTGATACCCACATTAAAAGTATAACATTTAATATTGGAATTTAGTTTCAGTGGTAGAGGATGGTGGATTAAGCTGGCTAAGAAAGTCTTATCAGAGAATGAAGGAACAAGCTGAGAAACAAAACAGAAATTTTGAGGACATTGTAGCCGAAAGATATGGGGTGAGTATCTGTATTAAGGAAATATATTTTATTTTGATAGTTGTCTAAAAAATTAAGTGCATTTAACTTTGTTTTGTGCCATGAAACACTTTTGGATTGAATTAATGTTAAATTTTTTGCCTTTATACTGCTGAAGTAATTTTCAACTTTTCATTATAATTTAAATGTATGTATCATATTTCGGTTGTCATAATCAACGTTGAACTTAAGTGTTTGTGTGTTTAGTGTAAAAATAACATTTTCTTGTTGTGAGAAAATTTGAATAATGTAGGAAAGTCTGCACAGAATGCTTCTGGAGATAAACACTATTGAAATTTTTATGGGCTGGTCTTGGTGGCTCAAGCCTATAATCCCAGCACTTTGGGAGGATTCCCTGAGCCCGTGAGTTCAGGACCAGTCTGGGCAATATGGTGAGACCTCATCTCTACAATAAATAATAATAATAAGATAAATTAGTTGGGCATGGTAGCATGCGCCTGTAGTTCCAGCTACTTGGAAGGCTGAGGTGGAAGGATCTCCTGAGCCCAGCAGGTTGCAGTGGCTGGGAGTCTGCCCTCCAGCCTGGGTGACAGAATGAGACTCCAACTCAAAAAAAAGAAATTTTTATGTATTCTGGAATCTGGTATATTCTAAAGTTCTGGAATTTTCAGAGGTCTTCAAAGAGTGCATATGTTCTCTTAAAACAATGGAACCATGCGGCAGTATACAATACTTTAGAACTAGTCCTCCTATTCACCATGTGTGAATAATCTCTATTTCAGTAGTTACTGATGTTCTTTTTCTTCTCTTCCATTTCTTCTCTTCAATTTCCAAGTGTAGATTTAGAAAATAAGATTTCAAAACCATAGGTAAGCAAAAACAAAAACAAAGCAAAAACAAAAGGAGAGGGCAACAATTACTCATTGTTCTAAGAGAATCTTTGTTAACATTTTTGGAAGATGTTTTTCCAAACTCCCTTGCCCGTGGCCCACCCACCCTTGTTTTGAAGTAGGCTTTTAGAATATACTCTGTGTCTTTTACTTACTAATATAGATGTAGTTGGAGGCCAGTAAGTATGTACATTTTATTGACCTCTTCATATTTTCTTACGTATGTTTATGGTTTTCCATTATTTATTTACTTAATTGCCAGTGGATGGACATTTATATGCTTTCCCCTTTCTCTGATAAATAGCACTTTGTCCACTGCATTTTGTGTGTTTATCTGTTTGTAAGGTGAACTACTAAAAATGAAATTGTTTGTTTAGAGGATATAGACATTTATAGTGTGATATGTATTGCCAAATTTCTCTACAACAATTGAACAAATAATACTTTTATCACATAATTTTTAACAGAAGATTATTCTGTATAGTCTATGCTACTGTCATTGGTAAACATTTTTTTCTTTTATTTTTATATATTTACTGGTGAATTGAAATTTTTTTTACATTTATTTTGGCCATTTGTATTATTTAGTGATTTGACTGTTGATATTATTTGCCCATTTTTCTTTTGGGATAATGATTTATTTAAGACTTTTTAATAAATCTGTTTGAATTTTTTCTTAATTTCGTTTTTTAAAAGTGGATTTAAGTCATTTTTTATTTTATTTATTCATTTAAAAAAATTTCAATAGCTTTATGGAGTAAAAATAGTTTTGGGGTACATGGATACATTGTATAGTGGTGAAGAAATCTGGGCTTTAAGTATACCTGCTGTGGTTTTTCATCCCTCTGCCCTTTCCTATCCTCCTCCTTCTGAGTTTCATGGTTTTTTGTGTTTTTTTTTTTTTTTTAGCTTTTTTACTTTGTTGATAATTTACTATAGATAAGTTTTAAATATTTTTACCTAGTAAAGTTCCTCATATTATTTTTTAATGATTTAATGCTCTTGGTATAATTTAGTGACAGGCCTTCCCCACCTCCAAAATCATAAAAATGTATACTATATTTACTTTGTATATTTGTTCAGTTTTTTAATGGTTATCTTTAATATTTCTGGAATATATGTGTATAGTATGAAGTAAGGTATTCAAGTTTTTCTTAGTCTTTGGATTGTTGTTTACCATATATTAAATGAGTTTTTAAATTAATTTTAAATGAAATATTTATTATACATTAAGTTTTTTTTAATATACATGCATCTGTTTCTTTATTTTCATTTATTTTGTGATTTTGCTGTCTTTTCCTGGATTTAGTATTATATTGTTATAATTTTTGTAGTTTTTAGTGAATTATATAGATAGCAAATAATTAATGAACACCTACCATGTGGCAGGGTGTTTGTAATTAGTCATTAAAAAATTGACTTTGCTTTTTTATGTGTTTAAATTACTTATTAAATTTAGAATTAGTTTGTCAACTTCAAGCTCAACTACAAGAACATTTATTTAGACTTGACCATTACATTTGCCATTGATTTATAGCATGCTTTCTTTCTTTCCTTTTTTTTCCCCCACAGATCTTTGCCCTAATTCATTTAGTGTTTGGCTTAATCATCTTGATTAAATTTTGCTCACAGAATTACTAAGTGATATGCCTTCTGATTCCTTGCATTTTTGAAAAATGGTTTTCTTTTTCCCATAACAGGGAAGGGACATCTGACTGTGAATTGAATTCTTTATATAGAAATATAGCTTAATAATTTTTTCAAAATTTAGTATTTTTTCTACTATCTAGTATTATAGATGAAAAGTTGATAGCAGTCTATCTTCACTTTGTAGGTAATGTGTTATTTACCTACCCCCATTTGTATACAGGCTCACATTTAGTCAGTCCTTACCTGACCTAGTCTTTGGGAAGGATTTTTTTTTTTCTTTTTTTTAGTCAGGGTCTCACCTTGCTGCCCAGAGTGGAGTACAGTGGCATGATTATGGCTCACTGCAGGCTCTACTTCCTAGGCTAGTGATCCTCTTGCCTCAGCCTCCCAAAATGTTGAGATTACAGGCGTGAGCCATTGTGCCTGACCTTTTTTGAGTTTTGAGAATTAGGACTTTTTTTCTGTGTAAGTCTTCACTTCTTGTTCCCTCAAGGCTGTTGGGTAAGCCCTTCTGATTGGAAAATCAGCTGGGGGATTTTTTTTTTTTAACATATTTTTAAAATTAATGTTCTTCCATTATTTTTGCTCCCTCTTTCTGGGAGTATTAATAAATGCATGTTAGATTGTGTGGAATCAATTCTTCATATATCTTTTTTCTTATAACTTACATTTATTTACCATATTTTCCTAAAATGTAGAGAATTCTTAGGTTAATTTTTTTTTTTTATTACGCTCTGCTCTTCTATTTGATATATCTGGCTAGGTTTTTTAAACACACAGTTTTTTATTTACAACCCTTTCTTGTTCTTCTCCTGTTCTTTTTTCCATGAGAGTCTGTTATGTTTTAGCAAGTTACAGATTCAAGTAACCTCTTGAATCTTACTACCAGTGGGAATTAATTATTATTTTTAAAAATTTTATGTTTCTATTTTTTTCTTTATCATACTTTGTGTTAGTGCAGAGTGTTTGGTCTAAGTGGCTACTCTTTTTTTTGGTTATATGATAATTTTTTTATTGTTCACTCGTATTTTAAAAATGTATTTGTTTCAGTGAAAGATTATTATATGGGTCTTTTTTCCCCTTCTTGGTGAACTTTTCATTGTGCTACTGGGCAGTGGGTCATGGAACAATGACATGGGGGGGGCAAGTCACTGAGCCTTTCTTAATTTTCGACATTTTGTTTATTTTTTCTCCTTTGTAGTCAATGGAAATATTTCAGTCGAAATTAGAAGTAGCTGAAAAAACTGCATCTGTAAAAGAAGATTATAAACGAGAACGGTGGAGGAAACCTACATATTCAGATAAAGCACAAAATAGTCAAGAAGGTAGAAAATCAGACTTAGTAAAATACAATAGCAGTTCAAGGGATAGATATGCTACAACAGTTATTGCAAACAATAACAATAATGATAAGTCTAGTGGTGATGAAAATGATAAGAGGTCTGGGTCTTTAGAAACACATGGAAGACAATCTAATCCAAAGCAAAATCAAGGGTTTTCTTCTGGAAATTTGAGATCTAAATTCTTAAGACCCTCTGATGATGAAGAGCTGTCATTTCATAGCAGGGGCAGGCAGTTTGAGCCTTCTAGGTCGTCTTCTGCACTGGTAGCTCAGGGTTCTTTGTGTTGTGGTTTTCGAAGACCCACTGAGAACAATGAAGAAAGTTTAACATCTTGGAGTCGCTGTGATGGCAGAGAAGGGGAGAAGAAGCATGCAAATCAAAAGCCATTGGAAACCAGTAGCAATATTGAATACCGACACGTTCCAGAGGATGTGAGAGAAAAACCACAAGATGAAAGCTTGAGTGGTGACCCTCTGAAGAAAGAACATCTGCATGATGCAACATCTACATTTGCTGGGTATTTTATCATTTGTTTTTTAGCCTGATAAATTAATCTTAAGAGTCGGAGGATTCAAAGAACTGAACTATATTTTTAGAACATCACTTATTATATATGACTATGGTCTACCATTTCTTAAGACTGATGGAAGAGATAAGATATGCAGATGTAACAATATAGTAATATTGTTTTATGGATTGTATTTTACTTCACAGTTTTCTTTTAAAAAGAACTGGAAGAATTCAGTAGGTATATTTACTCAATTTGTTGTTTTTTTTGCAACTTAACTGAATAAGTTTTTTTTTTTTTTAAATGGATGTGCTGCAGGAGATATTTTGGTAGATTATATTACCAATGCCATATTACTTTATAAGGAAATAATTACCTTATTGTTGAGTTTACTCATAATCATAAATACCGCATGTCTCCAGGCGGTCTAGGACACTGAAGGAAAACATGCTGCCATAGCCCACATGGGAAGTGGCAAAGACATGCCAAATATCCTATAGAGAGAAGCAAGAATTACGATTGTCTTTTTGCAGAGAAGAGTGTTCCACTTGGGGCAATTGACAGATTTTAAAGACATTGTTAGAGTTTTAAATGTAAAATGTTGGTAGGATTGTGATTGTACCCATAATGATTAGGAAAATAGAATACTTACTGGGTTTTTTTATTGTTTATCTGTTGCACTTATGTAGGACTGGGTCAGAAGATGAGGAAACCCAGGTTGAATGGGATCAAACCTAGGAAAACTTGATTTAGCTATAGGACTGGCCCCATTGGAGATAACCAGAAATTAAAAAAAAAACAAACAAACTGTCTGAAGGATAATGACAGACTTACAGTTAAATAATCATTAAAATATGTTTAAAAAAAATACCACCAAATGAGTGGGACACTGAGGGAAGAGGTTTTAAGAAACAATAGAAATCAGTGATAGTAGTAGATATCAGCAGTGTGGTTTGGGGTTGTGAGTTTGGTAAATTGCTTTTGTTAATGACTCCAGTGGACGTATTGGAATGTGAAGCTCCTTGTGTAACTCTAAGTGAGAGGGAACTGGCAAAACCTGACCTGAGTGATTAAGCCCCAGTCAGATGGGCTCTGGTTCAGTCCGGGCTTTGCTCCCAAAGAACTGAAGGAGAAATCCAGTTGTATTGACTGAATAAACATGACAGGGATTAGTGGCTAAGGCTGTAAGCATATATCGTTGTCCAGGCTTCACTCCAGGTTCCCTGCGTGGTAGACTGTTTCCACTTCCTAGTCGCTAGTGGGATAAAGCTCTTATTTCTTGATATCCTTAGAATTGGGTTAGTGTATGGGTAATCTGTAAGTCTTGACTTCTGTCACTATAGCTAAGCAGAGTATGCGACGTAATCTTACACTGTTAGTGTTCGATCTGATTGTCTGATTGTTTAATATTTATGTCTTATTTCAGTTGTAAGCTTCTAATAGGTATGCTATAATAAGGTACTCAATAAAAGCTATGGGTGTGTGTGTGTGTGTGTGTGTGTGTGTGTGTGTATACGAAGAGAGACTACCCAAAAATGGAATTTATTTATAAAAAATTGTGTACTTATTTTTACGTGATTGAACTTTAGTCCCTTCAAAGTACTCTCTGTTTGATGCAAAATACCTATCAAGATGCTTTTTGCACTGCTCAAAACGTTTTTGCATTCGTTAGTTTTGATGCCTTTTAGTATTTCTGCTGTTTTTTGTTTCACCTCATCCACATTGACAAAATGTTTCCCTTTGAGGACTTTTTAAATCCAGGGAAACTCAAAATAGTTGCTCAGGGTGAGATTTGGTGAGCAGAGAGAGGGGCATAGGGGTTATGCCTTTTTTGGTCAAAAACTGCTGAACACCAAGGGCAGGTGCCTTGTCATGGTAGAAGAATTAGTCACCAGTTTGCCACAACTCAGGATGTTTCTTCTGCAAATTGTGATGCAACATTCCTAGAACTTCCAGATTAAAAACTATGGTTGACCGTTTGGTCTGGAGGAATAAATTCTGAGTGTACTACAAGGGGCCTGCCCTCCAAAAGATTATTCTGGTTTTTTTGGAGTCTTCTCTTGTATATATTACTTTTGATTTTCTTTGTTATCTGTGTTGATTTGATGTTACAGAAGGATTGAGGCTTTCTATTAATTCTATGATTGACTGGGGAGGGAAAGAAAAAGATCTAGAAATAATTCAATAAATATAAAAAGAAAAAAAGATTCTTATGCATGTACAAGGACTGACAATTAAGTTTGAAAACTCATCCTAGAAAAAGTGCTACATATCTCATTGCTGAATATCACTACAGTCACCTTTGAAGCACTCCCCTTGGGAAGCTATGCACTGAGACCAGCACCTAATCTCCCCATCAAAGCAATTTTGGTACTGTTTTTCAGAGTGGCCATGAGAGCTGTTGTCCTATTACCCTTGAAGTCCTCAATATCATCAAAATGTTTTCCTTCCTTTAATTACTTCCTTTTTCTTTGGGTAAAGAAGAAAGTCATTGGGGGCCATTTCAGGTGAGTAGGGAGGGTGTTCCATTACAGTGATTTGCTTACTGGCTAAAAACTCATACAGACAGTGCTGTATGAGGTGATGCATTGTCGTGATGCAAGAGATCCTTTGGGATCATTTTTGCACACATCTTTCTCATGCCAAGATTTTCAGTTAAGGATTTCCTAGTTATCGATGTTTATTTGGTCTGCCATACTTCTCACAGTCAACCAACAGTTTTGATGTACGATTCAACTAATTTTTGCAGTGTTTTGTCAGTTCTGCTTGTATTGGCCGTCCTGACTTCTCTTCATCAGTGACACGTTCTGTCTCCTCAGAAAAATATTTAATCTATTTTTACATGGCCATTTTCTTCATGGCATTATTCCCATAAAATTGAACTAACATTTCCCTGATTTTATTTACACTCTCGCCAAGCTTAATAAGAAATTTAATGTTTGCTTTTTGCTCTAATTCAAACTCCAAAATTCTCACGACGACAGCTCTGATGACCATTCCAGAAAAGGAGTTCCAAAATTGCTTTGATGAGTAGCCTTTGCACTGGCATCAGTGATAGCTTCCCGGGGGGAGTACATCGTGATATTCAGCAATGAAGTTATGTAGCACTCTTTCTAGAATGGGTTCGTAAATTGAATTGTCAGCCTCATAGATTGGTATAGAGAGACCAAGATACTATCTTGAATAATGCCTAGAAAGATGCAGTGAAAGATTATCAGAAGCTATTAATTTGTCTGAACATTATCTTGGCAATATATTGAAATTTTAATAAAATGCTAGAATTCTAGGGAGTTTGAGAACCAGTGAATTTTAGAACCAGAAAAATAAAATCATAGCAATGATTTAGAATGGGAAGAAATCATCACCTGACTTCTGCATTTTGCAGATGCAGAAACTGAGGAACTGAGGTTGTGATTTGCAAAATGTTACCTAATAAGAAGTCCATTGCCATCTTTGGATATAAATATGCTAAAAATTATTTGTTGTCTATTTGAAATTCAAATGTAACTGGATGTCATGTATTTGATCTGACTGCCCTGTGTTTGACACTCAACCATTTCCTGGGCCTATTGCCTTTCACAAGAGTTGGTACCTGACCTCATTGTGCTTCACTTTCCTTATTTTAAACAAGGATTCCAACAGGATCCGCTTAATGGGGTTGTTGTGTGAGTAAATACATATTAAAAACTTAGCATAGTACCTGGCTCATAGTAAGGGCATCATAAATCTTATCTATTGTTGTGGCTATTACTAGTATTATGTAGTTATTTGCGAAGCTTAGACTAGACACCACATCTTCTGATGTGCCTTTTTTTAGCCTGCTTTTAAATAAAGTTAAAAGCGGCCGGGCTCAGTGGTTCAGCCTGTAATCCTGTGCCTTGGGAGGCCGAGGTGAGGAGGTGAGTGAATTGCCTGAGTCCGCGGGGTCGAGACCCGCCTGGGCAACTTGGCGAGACCTCATCTCTACAATAAATCAAAAATCAGCCGAGAGTGGTAGCGTGCACCTGTAGTTCCAGCTACTTAGAAGGCTGAGGTGGAAGGATCGCCGGAGCCCAGCAGGTCGAGGCTGCGGTGGCCGGGAGCGGCCACTACACTCCAGTCTGGGTGACAGAGTGAGACTCCAACTCAAAAATAAATAAATAAATAAATAAAATTAAAAGAACCATGTATTGGCTTTGACATAAAAACCCTTTTCTTTTATACATTGATTATGGAAAAGTTATTGATACTCTTTCTAAAGCTAATTTTGGTAGAACATGGGAAAAATTGATCAGAGGTGTGGAAAAGAGAAAAAAAAATATAAAAGCTGCACAAAGAGAAACATTTTCAGTGTGGACTGGAAAATACTTTTAGTCGGTTGTAAAATGGGTATTGGAACATGCCAAAGGTCTGTCTACCAGACTCTGTAAAAGATGTAACAACCAATATCTGTCTAATATTAATAATAATAGAGAATTAGTTGAATTTGTTTTATTGCTTTATATATGTGTTGTTCATATATGTAACCTCTCTTGCGTTTTACTTGATGTTCTTTTTTAAGATGTTATGCCATTTACAATCATGTAATACTTGTCTATAAAATTTATAGTATAGACAGAAGAGTATGAGAAAAGAGTATAAAAAAATATAAACAGATGAGTATGAAATGAAAAACTAAGTCTCCTTTCTTGTCACCCCCAACCCTAATCCCATCTCCCAGGTTAACAGTGTTAGTGTCTTTTCAAAGTTTTTAGTGCATTTGAATATGTGTAATATACCTATTTAACTTGCTATATAAAATGATATGTAGATAATGCATATAGAAACATATTAAACATATACATAAGTTAAATAGCTTTATTATGCGTATACTATTCTGAAGCTTGTTTTTTCCAAACAGTATATCTAAAAGATCTTTTCACTTTAGCCCATATGCACCTACCTTTTTTATTTTAAAGTCTTTTCAATATGCTATTGTAAAACTTAGGTATAACCTAATATTTTTATGAGTCTTCTATTGGTTCACTTTT